ACGGTTGAAGTTCTCAAGCCTAATAATCCCTAGGCGTCACAGAAGATTGACACTAAACCCATTTACAGGCGCATGGAACGGAACAAAACGCGCAAACAAAAAGTCCGGCTCGGTTCAATGCATCACTGGTGTCAGGGTGGGGCCAAGTGGAACAGCACAAACGAATGCAGGCTATTTGGCCTGAACAAGGGTCGGCACATCTATGCACTTTCCCGGCCGACCTACAGCGACCAACGTGCTTGAGCTGAGCGACACCAGGTACAAGTTGCAGGTCTCAGGCGATTTTTGGACCAAATCACAGTCCCTGAGACCGGGCAAACACCCTCAAATTCGGCGTCCTTCTGCGCATCGATTGCAGCCCGAAACCAATGGAACCCATGGGCGAATTCCTACCACCCGCGAGTGGGGGAGTTAGAGCTCTCCAAGTAAGACACCTCTCGGCTTAGCTTCGATGGGTGAGCTCGCCAATTGCAAGAGATTGCTTTTCAGTCCTCAGGGACTCACCAGGAAAACGGACGACCTGTGCCAAACATTCTTGGTGCTCGAAGGCCTGTTGCCAGTTTGGTGACAAAGGAAATGCGTTCCATCAGAGTTGATTCTATGCCATGTAGAGAGCCAACACATTTGTCATCCAATGACTTCACGTGGCCAAAAGTCGGCCGGTGGGTGGGTGGTTTTCTCTCCTCGACGGATCATGGCCACCTGGCCATCCCGGGGCCCCGGGCACTGCGGGATCAACGGCAGGGTGGCCACATCCCCGGTGTGGCCCCCGGCCTCGGTGCCCTGGGCGCAGATCATGTCCACGCCCACCTGCCGCGAAAAAGCGGTCCATAAGGGCCCGTTGCAGCCGTGACCCGTGGCGGTGGGGTGGTGTTCTAGGGTGGTTCTAGGGTGGTTCTAGGGTGGTTCTAGGGAGGTGACCCGAGGGTGGGCTGAGGGTGGGTTTAGGGTGGGCGTAGCATCCGGGTTGCTTGGCAGCTTCTGTGCGTTTCTTCCTTCTGGGCAAAATAGGAAATTCACGAATCTGGAAAACTCAAATCCCCAATGCAGGAATCTCCATTCTGGCTCAGCCCAAACATGAGCGGACTTGTTTCTACGAGACTTTGCAGCAAGAAACATACTACCGGGGAAATGAGGTCACTGTATTATATGGGTGCTCGTGCTTGTACATTCCACTATACACCTGAGGTGGGATTTGGGCGGAACGGAAACCATCTTAAAGGTTGGTCAAGCACAGTCGCCCCTAACTTGTTCCACCTTCTCCATCCCCTATATCATTCCATCCATCTTCCCGCGTTGCCCCGCACCGCTCCCCGCGAATCCCCCCCACAGTTCCTCTCATATTTTGCTGCACCCGGCTGAAGATGAGGTGCAAACATCGAAAACAGAACACCATGCCACGTGCGGCTGAGATGAAGTAATAAGAGCTTCGTCATGCTTGGCTGCCTTTGTTTATCCCCGTGCGATCTCGTGCAGCTTTACGCCTCCGACTTGTAAGAAGCGTGCCAACTCCGGCAACAACAAGTCTCCGTGCGCTTTGCTGCAGAGCAATAAGAACTCTCGACTTGTACAATGCCCTAAGTTTTAAAACGCCCCTTCGCAGCCGCCCCTTCGCAGCGGGTTTTAATAGAGCGGGTTTGAATAGAACAGGTTCGACGGGACAACCATTTGGAAGGGACCCCTAGCAAACTTCGTCACACAGCGGATTTTGCAGATTCCACGGAGGTGAATGAAATGATGGCCCGCTGTGCCCCAACTTCAAAGGGACCCGCCAAGTAGGAACTTGCATGGGGCCAAGCTTCTTTGATCCTTGTTAGACGAGCTAACATCAAATGAGACAGAGCTGATGCATGAATATATTCCAGGCAGACAAATTGCCGAGAGCAGGAAGTTACCCAAAGAGCCTGAACAGCAAGCATTCACACAAGCAATTTGGGCAAATTGCTATCCCACCCGAAAAACGGAATCCTCAGGTCAGGGACTTTCGTTGGTGAAATCGCGAAAGGCACCAAGAGCGCAAAGCAGTCTTTTAGTGTAAGCGTGAGTGCGATTTCCCAAAGGTATTTTGGTGAGTGCCTCCATGTCATCAATTTTACTATCGCGGATGCCGATTGATGAAACCTGATCCAACAGGATGCTTCCACCTGCGCCGGCCTCGAGCGCTTTGGCCACGTGGTGCGGGGCGCCCACCATGTTCCTGGGAATCTCCCCACTCACCCCAGGAGCGAATAAAGACTGTTTGACTTGTCCAGTGGCCACGGAACAGGGATGAGCAGGGCATTTCTTTCCGAACGGCTTGTTTGCTATTTCCCAAAAAACTACGCCTGTGGGATATGTCATAAATCCCTCTGCCCAGTTCAATGGGGCCAACAAAACAAGAGGCGCCACTGGGCAGCTGCGCCTGCGACTGTGTCAAGCGGATTGTTTGCTCCGACCACGATCGGAGATGCGCAGGGAATGGCGGACACATATTCAGTCCCGGATGTGTCTCAACATGTGGCCACGTTGCCTGTGATGGGTGGCTTCCCTTTGCTTCGATGTTCTTCAAAATCCTCCCTCTAGTTGGTCAGTGGCACCCTCGTCGCCCTTTCTTTTGGTGGAGTTGCCGAACCGCCTCTATTGAGCCTGCCAATGCAGTTTGTGGGGTCCAGACTTTGAGAATGGGGACTTGAGGTCTGGAGAGACCCAGCAAGAGGCAAACTGCAATTCACGACCCGGAAGTGAGACATTCGCAACTAATGGACCTTCATCATGGGTGTTCGCTTGATTTTCCCGATCTAATACGCCCAGGTTCCCATATTCCGACTAGATCAGGCAAGTGAAATCTACCTCATCGTTCGCCACCGACCCAAAATGTTTCTTCTGGCCCATATTCGGTGAACCTTGGCAAACATTTGCACATATGTTGCAATAGCAATTCCAACACCTGGGGAGCCCAAAATCATGGTACGCTCCAGGAGAGCTCGCTATATGCAGAAACATCAAGGACATTCCAGAAACCAGGTGGTTGTGAGTCATAGGTACCCGAAATGGTCCCCTGATGGATGAATTTTGACCCATACCCTGGTAGCCAGGGTTCATGCACACGATGCCAGCAGCGTGCAACTTGTCCACCGCCCACTTGGGCGGCACCCCCACCGCACTCACAAAGAGCTTCACGCCTCAGAGATCATGATGTGGGTACTCATGTGTGTACATACCTGGAGTCTCCATGACCCTTTCAAAAGGGTTGGTCATGACCCCTTTATTTTGGGTAATCACCCCATCTAAGGCTGCTAACCCAGGGGGCCGGCTAAAACGAAGAAACACAACGTACCCATGCCCTTCTGCTTTCCTTCAGGGTAAAACAGAATCATTGGCCACGTAGCCGCCTGGCACTTAGGTATGTGTCAAAGTGAGGGGACCCAACAAAAATGTGGCTTCCTTTTCGATTCTGTTTCAAGCACCCCTTAAAACGCACCCTCACAACAATGCATGGCTGCATGTGCTGTCGATTATATAAAAGATCGCAAAAGGCTTGCTGATATTCATGCTCTTCTCGCCAACAGGCTTGCTATTTAATGTTATCATTGGATAATGAACACCACCGATGTCTAAGGCACGTTTTCAGGATCCAATACTCACCAAAATTCCAAGTTAAACTCTGATGCGGGCCGTTGGGACCACTCTTAAATAGTGCAGTCCCGCACAGCCATCTTCGCGCAATAAAAAAACAACACACATCGACACACAATTGATTGTCAATTTCAGCCCAATGAAAACCTGTCTGTAATCCGATGTTAACATTGTACAGGTTGCTCCATAGACCCTGGCACAGGAGAAAATTGATTCCGGGTGTGTTCCACCCATGGAAACCAAGGCATTCTTCTTTTCTTCCCTGTTTGGTGGTCCTGTAGATGCTTGGATAAACCTGAAGGAGCGAGTTTAAGCTCCCTGCCCCTTCGCGACCCTTGCAGAACATCGGAAAAAGTTGGAATCCAGTTTGGCTGGCTGACCACGTTCTGTGTAAAATGCACCAAGCCCCCAAAAAAGGGCTGAACAACTGGAAAGGAAACATGCATGAGAAGGGCTGAGATAGTCCTGCTGAGTACTTGGGAAGTAGGGATGTTTGCAGGGGATCCAGAGACTGGCCCTGGTTCCAACAATCCTGGAAGTGGACAGGGTGCCTTTCAAGAGAACTACAGTTTTCCAAAACCCTTCGGCCAGTTTCCATGATTGTTGGAACGAGGGTATGTTTCCCTTTAACCACCATCCAACACAGGATTCATGTTCAACCGCGACTTCAACCACACCAAATATGGGAACCGTGCTCAACGAACAAGGTATCCCGACGAATGAACGGGAGAAACACGGTAGCCTTCTTCAATCATGATGTCCACCATCTCTGGGAGTGCACCGTTCGTGTAGTCCTGGCAAGGAACACGTGTGGTGTCGCTCCTGGGGGTCGTCATGATCTTGGCGGGTTGAAGTTGACCAGGGTTTGGCTTGTGATCACGCGCCCTTTTCTCAGAAAACAAAGCGAGCCCTCGCAACTTCTTACATTGTTCAAACTCGACCCCAGTTCATAGCCGCCAAAGCAGGAATGATCGAAACATAAGCACTCTGAACATTGAGCACGCAGCAGGCCGAAGCGACCAACCTGCCACCTAATGCTTCGCAACTTCGCGCAGCATCTGTCTGTTTGTCTTTCTCTCTGTCCGTCCATCTTCGCATGCCAACGATCGCTGGGAATGAGAAGCTCTGAATGTAGACGGCCAAATTGAAGCCAAACAGTCACCTCATTGCCATAGGTCTTAACGGACACGGGCACACCTCTAGCCACCCCAGTGGACCTTGGCTAATCGCGGTCCTTGTTGGTGGCGCGGGCCCCGCCCCCGACCTTGGGAATCAGCAGGTCCACGCCGAAGGGCACGCCAGGCTTCAAACGCTTCTTGACCTCCTTCCAGTGGGTGTTAAATGGGGGAGTCTGGAAAGAGCCAAACATATGCAACCAGATTGACTTTGCTTCTGGACAATTAAACAACCGCTCATTTTCTTTGGGTTTCCTTTGGGATAGTTCGACATCATGGCAACCCGCGGTGGCTGAGACAGCCGTCCTTGATCTCCTTCCTGAATCCGTCGAGCTCGAACATCACGCCCCCCAGCGTGCCGATGCCCCCGGCATTGCTCACTGCCTCGAATCGATATGCTTCTCCCAGAACACCGGTGGATTTCCATAGATCAAAACGGGCACCCACTTTGGGGTTCACTTCCTAGGGAAACTTCCTGGGCGATTCCTTGGAGGTATCCTGTCTGATCTTTCTGTTTGGATCTTAGGGATACTGAAAGGGAAACTACCCATTTTGAGACTTCCCATGTTGACACATTCCCATTTGTGTCCGGCCTGGTTGTCCGAAATATCGTCTTTCCCATAGAAGTGGACAGGAGGCATGTTCAAGAGAACTGTCTTACAAGACAAGACCTTTCCTGTCAACTTTTCTGACTTTTGCAAAGAGGGTTATTATCATTCAATTCTATGGAACCAATGTGGGTGAGTCCATCCCATTATTTCTTTAGTACCAACGTCCGGTATCTCAGAATTCAGCGCCAAAGCCCAGCTTTCCACAAACAGGGCTTCCGTTGTTCAACAAAAGCATGTCGAGTAGTTGCGGATCTGTGCGTTGCAAGTGGGCACGTGAGGCCTAAGATCGAGATTGAATAGTCATCCACTGCAGTGACATGCAGTGGCTACATGTCCCTCCATCCGAGGAACACCATAACTCACAGCCTGAAGAACAGTATCATTGCGACATGTGGGGCCTCTCAAAACAATATAACTGCCCTCTAGAACGCTTGGTTTCCTTCTGGCTTTTCCTGGAACTAGCCCCAGGGGTGGAAGCCCATTTTGAGAGCTCATTTGGCCTGCGATATGGGCACATTCAAGCTGGCACAGGCCCGGGGCAGCAGCTCCCAAGTGCCTTGCTCCGCCACATCCCGAAAGCAGCCAACACACCACATACACAATCAAAATTAGCAAAACCAACACAGCCAAAACAAACGAAGCCAACTAACCAACTACCGCTCCGCGGAGACAAACAACATAGCACCAGCGCATCCTGCTTTTCCCTGGCCGACTTGCCGAGCTATGCCGAGCTGCCGCCACCAGCTCATGGCCCGACACGCTGCCCATGCCTGTGTGGGGCAAAAATAGGTCCCAAAATGGAACCCTGCGGTCCCCCGCTTGCTGTATTTTGACCCATACCCACATCCGTCGTGTTTGAATCTCCTTTGCTGGGGGAGGTTGAAGGGAAACCAAAGGAAAGCCGTGTGGGTTTCTTGATTTTGATAAAAGCCGCTCGAAACTGGGCAGGGACATGAAACATCATATGCCATTTAGCACCCAGTGGGTCTTATGTTGATCCCATAAACACCTGGATGTTGATCCCGTAGCAACTACACAATGCTTGGTTTCCTTCTGACTTTCCTTGTCAACCACCAAACTAAGGCCACCTCCATGTGATTTCTTTGGAGGGCTTGGCAGAAACACATGTATTGGACAACATGCGTCACATCTTGTGAAGAGTCCTGACGGAGACATTGCTTGATGCCTGCAATTTTCTGCCAAGGCCAGGGTTTCGCTTGATGTTCGGGGGGCTTGAAGTCCCCACAACTCCTGGGGAGTGTATTGCTCCTGAGGCTGCACACACGACACCTTAAGCAAGGGTTTATTGTTCCTCTAAAAGGGCTAACAGGCTCAGATGTGCCACACCTGTTCTTTCTTTCTTTCGCTATTTCCGTCTTTATGGTCTGTCTTTCTTTGTTTCTTGCTTTACTTGTTGTTTCTTTCTTAGATTTTGTCCTATCTATGTGAAATTTTTATTGTCCTTCTTGCTTTCATTATTTCTTCCTGATGCTCCTTCTTCTACTGCATAGGCTATACAAGTGTTGTCTCGTCCTCCCCAGCTTTCCAGCTTCGCCTGCCAGCATGATGGGATACTTGATCCCCAGCAGCTCCGTGAGAGGCGTCTTGAGGGTGGCCATGGCGGGAATTTGATGAAAGAAGCAAAAAGAAGCAGCGGATCTCGCCAGGGTTTAATGTAGTGCCATACCACTGCGGTTGCGGTTTTTTCAAATGTGGATGTGCCTGATATTCTCTGTTTCCGATGCATTCTTGCTTTCCGAAGGCGTACTCGAAAGCTGGAGCAACTCAAGATCAATTCGAGGAGGCCGGAAAGCAGAATCCGGCCAGCGGTGGTGCCGTAGCGTAAGCATCTCTGGGCTGAGGGGGTTGAACAAACGGGCCATGGAGCAAGAGCCAACAATAATGAAACCTTGATGTTGCTCAGCGGACACTTGTCAAGAGGATGCAAACAAGAGACAATGTTCTGTCTGCATTGTTGGTGTTCAAGGGAAAACCCGCCAACACAAGCCGACAAAAACCACACCCCAGAATTACTCGGCCCAAGAGTGACTCCTCACTACCCCACAAAAAACCACCCCAATGAAGAAGCGGCATAGGACCACTATGCAGTCATTCTATCAAGGTTCCAGACACCACTTACAATCTGTGAAGGTTCCATATCCCGATTTTCTCTGCGAGTGTTTTGGGGGCTAGTTCCCCTCCAACCGTCCGGGCGAACCGGCCCATGGTGCGAAGGCGTGACGGACGGAGATGCTCAGGCTCCCCGGCGCGCAGGGCTTCCAGCCTCGACTTCGGGACTTGCCAGTTTCCTTTTCTGAGAGTAAATGTGCGCATGTTGTGGATAACTACCGGTGGCCCCAGGATAAAGGACCTATACTTGCCGAGCTCGTTTTACCCCGCCATAAAGTAGGCAGAAGCTCGCTTCGCACAAGCTCCTCGTGTTCAGCAACCTCGTTGCAGAGGAACTTGAGCCGACCCATCCGAGCTGATGGACAAACCGAGTCAAGACTCAAAGGTATTCGGCTAACGTAAAGGCACAAAGACCACAAGACCAGGACCCCCGATTTGTGGGCGTGCGCTGGCCAGCCATGCAAGTCATCGCCTGGTCAAGTTGCTCCAAAAGCGGAGAACTCAGCCCAAGGCAAGATCGCGCGGATCAATTGTATCTACTGGTTCGTCCAACTTCATGAGGACTTCTCAACGTCCAACGGCTCGCACGTCAGGCGTCAGGTCCCAACGCCTTGCTGCTCGCCTTCGCGTCTCCATGTGCAAGAGATCCGCAAAAAAGCACCTGCAGCAATGCAAACAAGCTCACCGCTGAATGTCTCTTACTTGCCCAGTGGTTTCCCATCAAAAAAAGGCTGCCTCGTCATTGTCAATAGCCTTGAATTGGATATCCGAGAAAAAAAAACAGTTTGTTGGGTGTCTTTGGGGGGAGGGGGGTTGAAACTACAGGAAAGCCATGCTCGTTGGAAAAAGCTCCATTTTGAAGCAGGCCCAGTTGAACAACGCACAGCCTGGACTTCACTTCACAGGATTCATTGCCCCTAACCCCCCCCCCCCCCTGACCCGAAACCAGGGGCGCAAGGAGGATTTGGGGGTCCTATGATCACAGCTTGACTCATGCATCCCTTCTGGCCTTCACCATGTTCGAAGTCTTTCACCGCTTCGCCCGCTTGGCTGAACCCGAGTCGGGCGGAGATTTCGGCGTCAGCCGCAATATCTCGCGGATGTTGGAGCGTCCGTCCTGCTGACAATTTGTCAAAATGATTTACCTTGGCGTCTACACTTGTTGTGACTTGCTTGGCTTGGAACTTCGGAAATCAAAGAAGACGCTAACAGTTTGAAGGGAACAGGTTCGGAACCAGCCTTGATTGGGATGTCCCATTATCAAGCCATCTGCTTGATTTGCGAGTCGACACAAACTCGGAAAGCATGACACATGTAGCTTAAAGCCAAAAAAACAAAAAGACCATGGCATTGCCCGTGTGTCCTGGGGCGCCTGCTTGAAAGGATTTGGGGTTCCCTCCAAATAAGGGGAACCAAACAACCCCAAAAAGGGTAGTTGATCTTTGGTTTCCCTTTCAAAATTCCAAAAAGAGTGCCCCCGCCGCCGCCAACAACAAATCTCAGGTGGGGACAAATTCGAAACCCTTTTTCGACATCCCTTCTCAGGCTTAAGCCCCAACCGACGCCAGAGTCATTTGAAAGGGCCTTTGACAAAGCACATGTAGATTCCTGGGCCCCTCCGCCCCTCCGCCACAGCCGGCATCAACACTGCTTTGTTCTGTTCCCCAAAACAAGAATTACAAGTGTTGTTGTCGGGAAAGGGCTCCCGGGGTTTGGGGGGAAGAAGGGGTGGGTCCTGTGAGATCTGGGTGATAACAACTACAAGGGCCCCAATAATTTAATAGGGTTTCTGGATTAGGTGAATGACACACAGGTCTCATAATTCAAGATAATAATGTGCATATCTCCCACCCAGCCCATTTCCCGCCACGGGGGTGGGGAATCCTATGAGTTCTGGGTATCCCACTTGGCCCTTGCAAAACCAACTGGAGCCCCGAAATCGAGCGAAGGTCCTCCAGGACCTCAGCCGTGGACACCTCAAAGCCTTTGGCCTCTGCAACCCTTGCGAAGCTCGCCTCGGTGCCGTGTTTGGCGCAAGCCGCGGCTGAGTTGAGTCCTCTGGATGGAACTCCTGGCACCTGGGATTGGGGGGGTGTCCCTGGATTGTTTTTGGGGGCTCATCCCAGGTGCAGGATTGTATCCACAGGCTGTGTCAAACTTGTGAAACCTTTTTTTGGACCCCAGGTGACACAGGAGGGCATTCTTCACAAGCCCCCCCTTGGGTTACCCTGTGAGAAACCCGCATGGTAGGCGGAAACGCTGAAAAAAACACACAAAAAACGCTTCTTCACGGCGCCCAGGGAAGTTCGGAAACCCGAACGGCGGGGCGCGGTGCCACCACCGCAGCCGAAGTAGAAGCGCTTGCCGGCGACGTAGGCGCACTGGGCCAAGCTGAAGATGGCCAGCAGGTCATCATAAGAGTCCTCCTGCGGGGGTTTGCAGAGGGAAATGCTATGCAACCCACCAAAAGATCCTTAGGATTCCCTCTCAAAGAGGACTTTTGACCCTCTTTCCAACAATGGGAGGGGACAGGGAGCTTCCCCAAAAACGAAAGTAGTCTAGCGAAATCCTTTGATCGTCAAATTCCAGAACTTGTACCTACTCTGAAGATCCCTCGCATTTCCGAGGTCACTCCTAAATGCCTTGGGTGCTGGATGCATTTTCATTGCCAACGTCGGATTGTACGATCCTAAGCACCGTGCCAAAGTGGGAGACTTGATTCGTGTTGGAGGATAACCTTGATTAAATTGGTCCTCTCGATTCATATGAAGGCACTAAGGCTGACTTACTTGGCCAGTGGTTGCCCATGCGAAGAAGTGAACTTGCCCTTTTTGCTTGGTGGTTGAGCTGAAAGGGGATCAACAATATACAGGAGACAGGCACCATGGGGCAACTGGCTTGATTTCTTGAATAAAGTGTCCCTCGACTCGAATGGCCCAGTTTTCCCAAGTGACGCGCGTCGCTGTAGGCTCGTGCGACACTTTGGGTGTTGTACGACGATTTGATTTAGAATCACATCCGCTTGCTGAAACAAGAAATGCGCTGAAGCTTTGAGAAGTGCACCAAGCAGTTCACCCCCCTCCCGCTTGGTCATCATCTTGATGTCCAACAGGTCTCCGCATGGCGCGGAGAATTGTGAGTGCTCCCACCCGCCGAATTTCCGGTCCAAAGGCCATCTGGGCGCCATCTCCCCTCTTGGGCCTCGGGGGCCCCCTTTCAGTCTTTCACTTTCCGAGTGGACAACTGACACAGGCATTCGGCGGCCTCCCACGAGCGTGCTTGCTTCCAACAGAAACCTCTCAAGAAATGGCCACCTTTCCGGGCCACGACCAAACATCGACCCCAAAAAAGGACCCGAGGATCAAATGGTGCACACTGGGGAAGCGATTTGTCAAGCTATCGAAGGTATGGGTATATGTTGGACTCCCTCCAAAGGTGCACTAAATGGGTGGTTTTCTTGGGGTTCCCTAAAACCACCCTTTAAACACCCTACGGGTATCTTCAAGATAAGTCCCTTGGATCCTATACGGGCAGAGTCCCGTAGCGTTCAGCTGTTGGGGAAAAACACGCCCTGCAGAAGTCATTGGGGCTCCAAAACGGGCAACCCAGCACTTGTTTTCGGAGCTTCAGCGCCTTGTAGATGGCCTCTGACGCGAGCATCACGTCGTAGCACAAAGAGGCCTCTTGTACCTGACAGCGCTCCTTGCATGGAATATGTTCCCACATTTAGACTCATTTACCCTCCAAATGGGTCAACTGTTGTTATATACTACGGCATGGCTTGTTGTCCAAAACAAGAAACCAGTGTTGGTAGGTTGTGAAGGGAAGCCAACCCAACCACCCAACGCAAAAAAAGAAGAAACATACGCATTGAATGGTTGATGTCAAAGGAAAGCCATACAACAAAATGCATGTCTACATCCATTGGTTGCATATAAAAGGAAAGTCACCCAAACGCCAAACACAAAAACAGAGGCTAATTGACTGATGTTGGGACCACTGAAAAGCTCGTCTTTGTGTGTGTGTGTGTGCGTGTGTTGTCGGGTTACTCGCAAAGTAAACCCAACCGCCAACAACAAGTAGCATGCTGCCTGGTCGATGGAGAAGGTTCACTAAAAGAAGAACAAAAAAGCCAGCGTGTTCATTGGTTGGTTGAAGGCGGCCCAAGCAAATTTAAGGAACATGTGAGTGTGTCTCAAACAGGGGACCCCCCAAAATTGGTTTCCTTTTGGTCTTCTTTTCAATCACCCCAAAAAGGGTGCCTCAAAGCAAGACAGCCCCATGTGCGCGGATTTGTTGAGTACCTCCACACCGGGCCTCTCTGGATCTCTGTGGCCCTGCAGAACCTGTGCTGCCCCCCTCTTGAAGGAAAAAACAATTGTAAACTGCTGCCATGTGGCTTTCTGAGTTGTCTGTTAAGTTGGACATCAAAGAAAACCAGTCAACATAAGTCAACATACACTCCCTTAAGGTTAGACCCAGGATTGGCCAGTTGGTACAGTAGGTGGCTCCAGACGTGTGCAATCCCTGCCTGTCGCAGTAAGGTCTTCCAATCCCCAGCCAGGAAATGCGCCTCGCCTGCAAATGAGCGGATACAAACCTGTGAATTGTGATACGCAAAAAGGGGCGCCTTTTGCTTGGTTAGTTCAAAACCTGGTGTTAAACTGGTCTACCCAGAACCATTTAAAGAAGTGGGCTCAGTTCATTTTAAGACCTTGGAGACCTGATGAGCGAAAAAGCTTAGAGCCCACCTCAGCCCCGAGAAGGGTTTTTAGAACCTGCATGCAAAACACAAAATCATGGATCCCCGTCCAGACTTCTAGTGAAAATGTGGAAAACGGGCACTCTTTGTTCAAAGGGAAACCCCTCTAAAAAGGGAAAGGGCTTGATTCAAGCCACAGAATACACACTCAGCCACTTGGACTTGTTAAAGCCCCTTTTGGTTCTCCTTTGAACATGAGTAGTTAAACCAATTTTGCCCAAACGCTGCCGTGAACAAACCTTCCCTGCCAAAGGTGGATCGCAGGAGTTTCCAGAAGGTGAAGGTGCTCACACTCGGAGAAAGGTTTGTAACAAATCACTTGTTTACAGCAAATCTATGAGAAGCGATTTGAAAGGCTGATGTGTATCTGCAAAAACCCGAGGTGTTTGCGCTTTATGGCCTTCAACCCTCAATTTGGACTTGCCATGTACGCCCTGGCCGTTCAAGCCAGGCAAATCTAGCTGCACTTAGTGGCAAGCCTACAGGCTTTATCTCAAGCCTACAAGCTTTCTTGCGGCTAAACTATCAGCAACTCTCAGCTCGAAAACGCGTATCCTGTCATGTCACTGTCTGTAAAACGAAGGTGTGGCGACCCCAGGCGAGGGAAGTTTGTAACCTATGGATGACACCATCCGAAAAGTGTCCCGGCCCTTCCTGAAGACAGACCAATTTCATGTTTATCTTAGGTTCGGTTCAAAGTAGAGTTGAGGATACCCAGAAACGCGCATATCATCCTGTCAGGAAGACTTGAAGATTCATGTCAAGGTCAACAAGCAACATCTGCACAGCAATGCAAGCAATGATCCTTGCACAGGGGTTATCCCATTTCATGTTGAGGCGCTGGGGACTAAAAAAGATCCAGGTCACACATCTCCAAGGAGTCTGTACTCACAACCCCACATGCCAGTCAAACTCCAGGTGAGTGGTTGCATGGTGACAGTCCCACATGGTTTCGGTTGAGTGGCCCCAGAACCTGAATCACTGCGCACGGCTCAGGCCTTTTCGATCGAGTTCTCATAACAGTGACAGCTTGTCACAAAAGCACAAAGACCTTCATGAACAACCGCTCATGTAGCCCGTTACGGAAAGCACTTGAGCGGTGTCGAAAAATTAGGTGCATAAAACCCTCTACGAACAAGCCGCTTTCGCAGTTACTTTCGTGGGCATGTGTTTTGGAATGATCACTGTCGCAGAGCTTTTGCGGGCAACACAGAAACTGCAAACATGCACTTTCGCGACGCTTTCGCGGCCGGCTCTTCTTCAACCACTTTTGCCGCAAGCTTTCGCGGGCTTTCGTGCCCTGCGGGTTAGCTTTAGCAAGGCTTCGTTAGGAGAGGCCCTCAATTAACTCCTTTCATAAGGTTTTTTGGCGCTGCCCGCTTGTTTTGGTGGCTTTGGAGGGAGGTCGAAGAGAAACCCTCCCCTCCACTCGACTCGTTTGCGCCTACGCTGTTGGCTGCGCAGTTGACAGCTGTCACCTCCCGCAGAGTCTCGATACCTCAACTAGCGGAAGCGGGGCACGGAAACAAGGCCCGAGTGCAGGCGGCCAATTTAGGAGAGGTCCTGTCTTCCGTCGCCTCCAAGCTGGCACGATTCACTTAGGAAACAGACACAAATCCCCCACAAACGGGCTTCTGATTCTATTGATTGAAGGCTTTTGAGAAGCCTTCTGGAACCGTTCATTCCTGTGGTAGTGTCCCATATCTGAACCCGTATGTGAACCCCTGGACACCTAGTGGTTTGGTGAAGTATCCACAGACTGTGGCCTATGGCTTGACCATGGGAAGCCAGATTTGAAAGTCACATCTTACCCGCACAATCCATGTAATATACATCAACTTTTAATCTCCAGGGTAAAAGTTGCCATCAAATCCATGGTTCAGAATAGCGGTAAAAAACATCATCTACCTCCAGGGTTTCGCAAAAAAAATAAACATATTCACATCTCAAAAACAAACTACCGCCGTTGGCAAACACATGATTCACATCGTTTCTTTTTTGATTCGGTTCCAATGGCTCCCAGACGCCTAAGCCGACGCCGAAGCCGCACGAGCGGCTCATGTCGTGAAAGGTCACCTCCGTCTTCCAGGCTTTGGCGGCCACGAGGCCCGGCACCTGATTTTTGCCGAATGTCGGCAGGCCGAGAGTCCGACCTTCGCCGAACGTCTCGTCTCCGCAGCGTTTCTCTTTTTGGTTAAACGCGGTTCTCTCCCAGGGCACCTTTTTTTCCAGGGCTGGTTTTTCCTAGTCGTTTTCCGCAAGGCTGGCAACATACCCGGCATCACCAGCCTTACTTGGCCCGGGGGTTGCCTATTGGAACCAAAAAGAGGTTCGAAGGATAGATGATGATATTTGAACATGGTGAACATCGCTCACATATTGTTTCCATTTAAACGTCAGCCAAAAGCAACCTCATCGACAAGTGACACCAAAAGGTGATGCTTCTAGCAGGCGGACCCTGCCCCAAAAAGTCCCTGCAGGTTGGCTGACTTGTTGGGAAACCATGGCCAAATGCATCCAACCCAACATTGGCAAAAAAGGGGTATAGAAAAGGGTAGATCCTTGGTGTCCGCACAGGTCCACCCCTGCAAAAACCCAGTGGTAATAGTTTGTATTATAATTTACTTCATTTTTTAAATAATAAGAAGTAGGCAAAGGGTAAAACCGCAAATCAATCACAAGTGAAAACGAGCGAATCCCCCACCAGTCCCATTGGCAACATTTCAGACCAAAAAGGATATGTCAAACCGAAAACCGGGGCCCCCGGCCCCATGGCCGCAGCCCAACTCCAAGACTGACAAACCTCACGGGGCCGGGGCCTTGCGGCTTGAGACAAGCCATCCATAACAGCAATGAATTGTTTCTAATTGTTTATTGCGTCCAGCTGCTTGGTCCAACATTGCCTGAGTGGTTTCCTTTGAACGGCGTCCTGAAAGAGGGTCCAGCTTCTAGGATTTGAATGGTCAAGGTTTCCTTGAGAGGGCATGGGAAAATTGGGGGGAAGCATGGTTTAGTGGGAATGGATGGGCAGCCACAGGTTTAATATGTTCATATATATAAAAATAGATTGAGAGTAGTTTGGAGTGTAGCTCGACTGTTGAAATAAAACTGAAAGGAGTAGTGCCACGCCGGAGTTGCTCCAAAAAGTAGACCATGGTAATCATTTGTGAGGCCTGATTCGACCTGTTTCTGCTCAGCACCCAGCAGGCTATCTCCGTCACCCACTTTGTCACCTGGTATCTGTATCACATTCGCCAAAACTTCACCTTTCACAACCACGTTTCCCTGGCTGCAAGAGTAGCCCGGAGCGGGGAGCAAGCATCCTATGAGCAGGCCGGGATTTTTCCAAGGTACCTTCAAGAGAAAACCACCATGCTGGGGGTTCCCTAATGAAAGAACAAGCCCATATCATATAACTTTTGGACCAGTCCGCTTCTTCCCCGGCCTTCGCTCGCAGGTGCCGGCATCCTGCGACAACGCTTTTGCAGCTACGTCTTGCCACCAAAAACTTCCAAGGAAAACGCAGCCCTGGCTGGGTTACTTCTTTGTTTGTTTTGGCAACCACGAGCCAATGAAGCTATGGCAATGAAACTGAACTGCAAGGAAACATCTAAGAAATCTGCAGTGTTTTCCGGCTGATGAACCGCTAAGGGCCTAACCCTAACCCTGCAAGCCCTTTCTCTACGGCTCCCGCTGTCTCTGAGTCGAAAAGGCCTGAAACCCTTTGACTCTAGGTTCTACCAACATGGTTATGAACACTTTATCGGGATGACTATGATTTGGGAACCTAGATAGTGGAACTGCCTACTAAGCCTACTAAAACGGCCAATAGGGGTTCTGCGTGTGCACATTTGGGGGTTGATCAATTTTCCTGGCCCCCAAATATTCATGTGTAACTTTTCCATAATCTAGTGGGACATATCATCTTTTTAGTGGTTTTCCCCAATGGTCATCCCATGCAAAGGACCTTTTGATGACCCCCCCATTTGCGCATACTTACATTCCGAAATGCTGACGGCTCTCTGCCTCCTGATATCTCTTGAGACCTGAAGCAAACTGAGAACGAAGCAATGCCTACACTGGATCACATAATTTCACCCTGCCCACAAGTTCATCCTCAAATCCCCAGAGTTGCCCTGTGACCCACAGCAAGAAACCCTTTCTGGGCTTCAGTCTGGGGTCCCAAATCCACCGGGTCGCCTGGCCAAGAACCTGCCAAGGTCCAGCGCTGCCTCCCAGAGTAGCACACCGGACCTCGCGGAACAAACAAAATCGTTGGAAAGCATGGTGAAACCAGACCTCCCTTTGGTTTCTCAACGGAACCAGGGGTTGGCTGTTTGAACAAATCTTGCAGCCAAGCCTTGGGTCGAACAACATCGATTTTGGCTCAACATGGCATCGGGGCTGGGTCGATCGGCAGTGTGAACATGCCGAGTCCTGCCTTTGGTCCACGCTCTTGGCATCCAACGCCTGGCCGATGCAAAGCACAAATTGATTCAAAGAGTTAAAAACACTATAGTGGACCTCCGGCAGTCGAAAGGTCAGCTGTGGGGTGTGGCCCATCCGTGGCCGTCCGTGGCCGCAAGGCTGGTGCAATGCGCGGCATTCGACCGGAGTGTTGTTTGCTTCAGCTGGACCGGATGGCGAAACTTTTACTCTGTCCCCGCAGCAAGGCAAAAAGGTTGCTTCTGAATGGACTTTTGGGAAAGCCCCCAAGATGGAAACTTGGCAAACAAACAACAACATAGTCTTCAGTAGTTCCCAACATGCGTCCTAAATGAATCACATGGCCCGTTGCTTGCGGTGGAGGGGTGTTGGAGTTGTTTGCTATCCCGGCTTGGCCATCCCTGGCACAACCAGCCTCGATTGAAGCAGCATGGCACTAGTCCAAAGTCCACAGTAGGCCTTCATGATCAACACATCGCATTTTGCGAGCATTTGAGAAAAGCTGAGAATTGCTGACGACCGTGGAAAAGCCCCAACTCGGAGGCCAACTAAAGAGGCTTTTGCAGAATTGCTAGGGAAAACAGTGGACACTCATGAACTTTATAATTTTAACTTTCAAGAGAAACCGGGCGCTCCCAAAACCAGTCCTGGACTTCATCGAGAGTAGTCATTAGACCCCCAAGACCTAGGGTTCTCCGAGCAACTAAGGCTTGCCCGGGCAGGGGGGGGGGCGTGGGGGGGGATAATAGCAAACATGCGCGCGCAAACACACATGCTGTGCACACAGGTGAAGATGCTCGTCGGGTCCTGGCCTCAAGCACGCGTACACATACGCACACAAGCACGGTCATGCACGCTCAAACAAATAAGTTCGAATCGGCATCAGCGCATGGTGTCCGTCACGCTGGCAACATGTTCACTGCAGCATGGCTCTTGACCATGCGCCTTTGCTAGCGCTTGCCCTGTCATACCTTATTCTTTTGCGCCTAGCGCGCCAGCCATCGCCGATATCGAGCTCCGCGGAGTGGTTCTGTGCTTTCTGGTTCTTCTCGACTCTCATCAGGACATCTTCAGTTGCACTCAGCGTGCAGATCCAGTGCTGAGCTTCACAAAGCCGCGCAGTCTGCGAGCGTGCCAACCTTGCCCGGAGTGAGTCACCTGCGATTCATTTTTACACCGTTGTCTCTGGTGCCAAAAAAAAAGCTGAACGCAGACTCGCTCAGTTTGCTGCGGGCCATGACAAAGAAGGGAGTGGCGCAGGAGAAGCGTCACGGCTTTTAATTGTGCGGCGGCGACAATGTTGCTGAAGCCATTGCCAGTGTCAGCAAAGGACAACTCAGAAGGCAGAATCTGTTGGGCAGAGGCACGATTCACGGTCATGATCATACAAATGTTTTGGCAGCGCATTGTTTGAACAAAGGTGCCGGCTTGGCCCGCGTCCTAAGGGCGCTCGCCATCCACAGGCGCAAGGCAGGCGAAGGGCTGCTATCGCCTTCCGAAGCATTTTCCAAACCGCTATGGCTGCGCTGAAAAGGGCATTTTCGGGCTGACTATCACGGATTCCCGCGGGAACTCAACCTTGCAATCCCCTGTTCTTACCAATGCAAATCAAATAGTGTTTAAAGTCACTGGCGTTTCCTATAGTTTTGAAGCATGTGCAGCCGCTGTTTCGGCTGGTGTGAGTGAAAAGTCGCTGGCAGGGACAATACTTTTGTGAGTTTTCTTCAAAGGATGCATGCTTGCAAACTTGGAATGTTCATGTGGGCGCGCGCAGATTTTCAGAAAATCCGCGCGCGGCAAGATAGCGAAACCAAGAGCCCATTCATGCCAACCACAGTAGAGTTTCGAGTGGAAGAGGTTCCGAAGCAATCTGGCTTCGGAGAACCTCAGGTCTTGAGCGTCATTAGATTGGCCGTTAAGTTTGCCGCACCCGGCCTTTTGGCAAGACATGCTATGGTCTCTATCCCATATGCCTCCACGGCTTCCACTCGCCGCCTCATCCGTTTGCAGCACCTGCAGCGGAATCGGCAGCTCCAGCTTGCAGAAGGCCGCTCCATTGCCTCGAATACAGAAACCGCCACATGCGAAACCTACCCACTGGAAATTCACCCGCGAGTGATACCCTGCGCTTGATTCCAATACAAGAAATCACGTTCAAGGGGACCACTCACAGAATGAGTAGCCTAAAACATGATGTGGGTGCAGGGGTCAAAATAGGGCCGGCCCAAAAACAAAAAGGCGGGTTTCTTTGTGGCGTCTCTTTAAACCAAGGTGAAAAGGGTCGAACATGCGCACACACACACAATTGTGGGTGTGTGGTTTTTGGGACTGTTAAAGGGAAACCACATATCATAGACCCTCCCCCTTTTGGAAGCAAAACAATTTGGGTGAATGTCAAATCCTTACCCGTCAAGGGGAAACCGAACATCCTTCTTGTTTCTTCGCAAGCAAACCCACCCCGAAAACACGAACAACCATGAAGTCGGCTAGGCAACTTGGACTTCTCAGGTTTTGACTTGCGGCCAAGGCGCTCAGTTTGCCCTCCACATCGATCTGAAGGAAGACCGGCTCTGCCATGGCGCGGCGGCCGGGCGGCCGGGAGGTCCCGGATGCCTGGTGTCCTGGTGTTGCCTGGTGTCGTTCAGAAATCAAACGATGCTGGCATCAGCGTTCAACAAAATGCAGCAGGAGAAACGTTCCTCAACAAACATGTCAATGTGTTTGACTACTTAATTGAACATCTCTAAGCTTGTCGACAGAAACAACTCCACGAGCTCTTGCCTCTCCGGTTTCCCGGCCCCTGACAACTCCCCATGTCAAAGTATGTTTGCCTCCCCCTCCTCCTCACCAAGGAATGAGAACAAACGAATGATACCAAGTTGTAATCCCTTAAGAACCTTACACTGGTTGTCGAAGGGTGCATGGCCGGCCATATCGTGGGACAAAACCCTGGACCAGCTCGGATAGATGAACCCCTATGAAGAAGGCGACAAACCACCCGGCCCTCTAAACTGGAGTGGTTTTCGTCCATTAACAGTATGATAGGACAAGAAGACATCATTTATGTGCTATTTGGCACCCTGAAGCACTTTTCGGGACCCAGTCGAAGGATTCTTCAGGCTGAGCCCTGGTCTTACGGAGAGCCACTCGCAGTGCGGGATGATCACCTCTGTGACCGGCTCCGTCCTGTCGCCTCGCTGCCCGCTGACACTCGGTGGCTCTAACAAAAGGAACCTCCTCCCTGGAAATGAACATGGGAAACAAACTTAGGGGGAGCTTTTGGGAGGTTCTCGTTTTGAGCGGTTCAAGCTAATTTGGCCGGGCCAGGTCTTGAGAAAAACTCTATGTTGCCGCATATTTTACCTTAAACCAAGCAAGAACCTAGGTTTACCATGTTTCATGTGAACCATGCGTGGTGAACAGGAAGCCAGGAAACGATGAAATAGACTTAAATCCCAAGAGCACAAGTCATATTGAAAACCCAGCAAGTAATTAGCGAAATCTCTCTCAATGGTCCGCTGCAGGTGTCCAGGAAATCCGAATACCATCTTCCCAAAGCAGAAGCCGGTGCTCAGCAGGAGCACTGAGTGAGAAACAGCTTGCATAAAAACTGTACACAAGAGCAAGATACACCGGCCTGGTCCTTTCTGGAAACACAGGAACTGGTAAATGATCTGGGTATGTGTTAAATGGGGTGAGCCCGCACCATTGCAGTTTCCCTTTGGTTTCCCTTTCAACCAAGCCAACAAAAAAGCTACCTAACCGACTTGAGCCGGACTGAAACAAGGGCCATCTGTTGTCAAGCAAACTAATTCCTTTCACTTCATCAAGCTCCGCTCCGAGATCCTGGCTGCCTGGAGCAAGCACCGAGCCATCTCGGAAGTAGACCTGAAATGCTCGAACCATCTTTCACAAAGCCATGCCAAGCCAAAAGAGAGCGGCCCTTTTCGCTATGACGAAAAGAAGTGAAGACCGATGCGACTGCCGAGGTGATGCGAGCTAAAGTGAGTGCGCGTACAAAACATGAAGAACATGGGCGGAATCCACTGGTTCAATGGAGGCAGCGGCAACCACCTTCCAACCGGCCTCTGGAGCCTCTGGAGCATACCCAACCGTCCCACGTAGGTGCTCAAAGGATAGATTGGGGATATGATTGATTTTGCATTTGCGGGCTTTCTGGGCTTTAGACACAATGGGAAGCCCGCAAACCACGAAAACCATGCGACTTGATTGCTTGCTTCACTGGCCACTGTGAACGCTTGTGCGCCTCTGAATGCCACCGGGAAACTGTGATATTCATTGGATCTGGGCAAACTACAATATTCCACCAGCTGGAAGCAAGGAATCCCCAAGTAGCTCGTTCTCGGTTACCCAAGAAGCAGACTGGCTGGCATCTGGGGCACCCGGACGCCTCCGCCGGTATCGCTCCAGGCAGGCCAATCCTTCGCGCCAGGGGGTCCAGGAAGCGTGCCCCGTTGAATTTGAGGACAAATCATTCCCTTGAGGGGTATTGCCGGGCCCATTCCAAATTTTAGCACCAGACCCATTTTGGGTGAAGCACAGTTTTCAAGATCCATGCCAATTTTCAACGCGCCGTGCACATGGGCGAGTGTGTGTGTGTGCGTGTGCGTGTGCGTGTGCGTGTGCGTGTGCGTGTGCGTGTGCGTGTGCGTGTGCGTGTGCGTGTGCGTGTGCGTGTGCGTGTGCGTGTGCGTGTGCGTGTGCGTGTGCGTGTGCGTGTGCGTGTGCGTGTGCGTGTGCGTGTGCGTGTGCGTGTGCGTGTGCGTGTGCGTGTGCGTGTGCGTGTGCGCGTGTGCGCGTGTGTGTGTGTGCGTGTGCGTGCGTGTGTGTGTGTGTGTGTGTGTGTGTGTGTGTGTGTGTGTGTGTGTGTGTGTGTGTGTGTGTGTGTGTGTGTGTGTGTGTGTGTGTGTGTGTGTGTGTGTGTGTGTGTGTGTGTGTGCGTGTTCGTGTTCGTGTGTGTGTGTGTGGTGTGTGTGTGTGTGTGTGTGTGTGTTTCTCTGTGTGTGTGTTTCTCTCTGTGTGTGTGCGTATTTCTGTGTGTTTCTGTGTGTTTCTGTTTGTGTGTGGGTGTGTATGAGTGTATATGTGCGTATACATGTATATATGTATATATGGGCACATGTGTATATGTGTATATGAGTATATGTTTGTATCACGTGCAATCGTACAACTACTGATTCAACCATTTGTCTTGGTTCGACTCACATTTGCATTCACAGTATTTTTTTCATGAACGAGGTCAACAGTCGAGCTGTCTGTTAGCTGTTCTCAAATCACGAGTCACCGCTAGCAACTCCACCACCACAAGTCGTGCCATGGCATCGGTTATATACATCAGCTGCTTGGACCGTGGCGCCAGGTCTTCAATTTTTGACACCTGACATCTAACAACCATTCACAAACATCGGTTGCGTTTCCCCTTTCTGGCAGCTTGCCTTGCCCATGCCTTGGGCCTGTCGATTTCGTTGGACCCGGATTGATTCACGCGCGCGGCTGCGTGCTAGTTTTTGCCCCCTCAGCTGCGGGCGCAAATGTGCGCGTCCATCACATCCTCAACCTGAGCGAACTTTCTTGGGCCTCTAGACGCTTTTCATAAAACTTAGGGGAGGTTGATTGACCTGGATGCCGCATTGGTGGATCCACCTCTATAGGGTATGAGAGCCCTAAAAAAATACCAGTGACCAACAGGGGGAAGAACACGTTACTTCCGTAAAAAAGCGCATGCAGAGCGATTTCTAGAACAGCGGCAGATGGAATTGCTGGGCGAGCTAAGCCCCCTGTAGAACTCCCCGGCTACTTCACGAATGGAAGTCACCAACAAGAAACAACACATCTCCCAAAAGTGTCATGCTAGGACTGCGAATGGGATCCAAGGTCAAAAGCGCTTCAGAGCTCGGACAGTCAACTAAAACCAGAATGATCAGAGATAGCGGGGCAGATCTGTTTCGCAATACATATCTCCCACTAAACAAACTCAAACCGCATGGACCATGTTTTGGATAGGGTACCCACTCAGCTTGCCGCCGTGTTTCAAATCCCGTGACACACAGCGAATGGCCTGAGACCTGGCGGATCCACCCCTAGGGCCCCGGGCTGTGTGCAGCTGAATCGCCTGCTGGGCTGGGCCCAAGGCCACTGTGGCCAGCATCGCGAAGACCTCTCCGGCCACCAGCGTGGAGAAGACCCGGGAAAACATGCAAAGACTTCCAGTAGTCATAGGTCCCCTTCAGAACCAGGGGAAAATCAACCATAGCCTTGAGCAAATGGAAGAATGGGGTGGATTTGTGTAACAATCCAAAAGGCTGGCGCTTGCCTTTTTTTGCACAAGCACGAGGGTTCCAAAAGGGACCATGACAAATGGCCGAACCGCGGCTTTGATCATGGCACACATTGGTGGGACCGAAGTGAGTAGAATGGGATTGTGATTGTACGAAACCTAATGTCCTCATGATCATAACAATGTGTAGAATTACTCAGCCCCTACATTATTTTGCTTGAACCCACCAAGGGAAAATCCATGGTTCTGGTCCTTCATGTTTGCCTCCTATACATGAACATGTTTTATGGGATCAGGGTGCCAACCCCTTTAAACCATGCGTTCACCCTGTCGAAATAGACTCCCGTTGGATTGCTGACAAACAAGCGCCTGATTTTAGAACAAGAAACAGCCGTGGTTCTCAAAAGGGGAACGTGGGCCAAATAAGTGCACCATGTCCTGGTGGTTGCAGTGGATAGCCCACTTTGTGGAGAAAAACAAGGGAGCGTGGGTCATTTTCCTGACCCGCAAATGAACCAAAGGCCTTGCACCTGCCAAAAATGGCATCTGTGTGTCAAGGAAGCCCAAAGGGAAAAAGGGCACCTATCCCGTTCTTGGTAGTGTTGACCCCTGAATATTCAACCTGGTGGAGAGGGATGCCCCTCTTCCCCTTCCCCTATTCAACCACAAGTGTCCTATGAGTTGGAAGGCCACTACACCCAAGAAACCAGCCAGGCCCTAGCTTCCTTTCAAGGGCCTTGGCGCTTCAGCCCAACCCTTCGTGGAATGCACTTGCCAAAAGGGATAGGGACATTCGGGGCACTGAGCCCCAAGAGCCCAAACTGACTGAGCCGAAATCCCCAAACAAATTTTTACTTGTGTGCCGCAGGTAGATTTGTTTTCTCAAAAGCTATTAAAGTGCTGCTTCTTGACCCAGACAGCAAGGGATGAGCCAATAGGGAAAAGTCACTACCCCCTTTCAAATATCAGACGTGGCTTTGCGGTTTCGTTGCTTCCCTCTAAACAACAAAAAGATCCCAATCTTGGGACACTCGATGGGTTGTTCCCAAGGTGTTGGCAACTTACTGAGTTGAATATTTGTTTGTTATTGGTTTCTTTACAAGTTATGGTTTTTGGGTTTACGCATTTCCTAAACCAAGAGAAACAAGCATCTCCTCTTCCACAAGTGGCACGCTCTGGTGTAGGATCGCTCACAGGCATTTCTGAAACTGTGTTTGTTTCTGATGGGAGAAGCCTCAAACTGGGTGTTGTTGCTTGAGGTGTCCAGTTGACATCCGGGTTCGTCTCAAACTTAGCCCCCACCCAAACAAAAACATGGTAGTTTTCCTATTGATTTCCCGCTGAAAGAACAACATGCCAACCTTCGACAAGACACACTTACCAGAAAGGACTGGCCTGAAAACACGCACACCCATTGCCCTAGGAAAGGTCGGACCGGCTCCACAAGAGCACTTCCACTAGACCTTTTGGCCGCCCGACACAGAAGCAGAGGAAGGAGGAGATGACATTGGGGCCTGGCAGCTTGGTCAATGTTCAACCCTGAGCCTAGGATTCCAATAGCTTCCATCACTTAAGATGTTACTTGAAAGGGGTGACGGGGCGCTTCCAAACCCAAACTCAGCCAGCACGGGGACGACACGCTGGCAATTAGTGAGCTACTCATCTTATCCTCTCACCAGCGATTCCATTTGGCTCTGTCCAAGAATTGGTAGACTCCCGTGGATTGGTGTTAAAGCGAAACCCTACGACAACCAATCACCTGCAGTGGTCTCGTCAGTTTGACAGGTTGCACGGCTTTCTCCCGCTCCCAACTTATGCGCAACCTGAAGTAAGGGACCGCCCAACTAAAGGACTTACATCGTGTCGAGCCCAGAAGAGCTCGAAATTAAAACAGGCAGCTATGCAAAATTATGTAAAGCAAATAACAACTTCAAGATAGGCTCCCCTCTCATGTCGTGACATGCCACCCAGGCAACCTCTCAGGAAACTAAGTGCGGAGTGAAGCTCAGGCTTTATGGGTCACTGGAGAAACTATGACAAACATCCCGAAGAGTTCAGACCTCCAATTGAGGTTCTTCCCATCATTGCTTGGCTACCCAATGTCGGTGAAAGGTAAGGAAAATGGTTTGAGGGCTTGAGGTCAATCGGGAAGGAATGGACTTCAACAGTGAGAGTGACGCGACACCTATTGATACAAATAAATCAAACACAAACGCACTTCCCCAGTGGATTGGTCCACTCAATTGGTCTTTCCAAAGCTTCCAAAGTCCAAATTGGAAGCTGAGCCGACGGGGTTGGCGCGTGTTCTGCGCCTGGTCGATCGTCCAGGAGGGAGCAAACAGGATTGACCATCACCAGCTGGATGCCACCTGTGACAAAATGCTGCGGCAAACGAAAGCGACAACTCTGGAAAAAATCACACTCGCAAATAATTGATCGGCAAAATTCACGGAAAGAAACCAGACAACTGAAAATCACCGTTGAGCTCACATTTCGGCTGAGCCGAGCCACTGTTTCGGGCATCGAGTCGCATCGCAACGCAGCTGAAGCATGAATTGTAGAGCCGATGACCCCTGATCAACCGGCAACTGCCGTATGCTGTACACAGCGGCATGTCCAAATATTGAACCCAAAGTGGTGGTATGCCACGACATAGCTCAGAGGGGTATGCAATCAATTTACCCACTGTCGTGCTCAAACACACATGGCATCCTCGTCACTATCGAAATCTGGCGCATTGCCTCGACGCCACTCAGCACTGGTTGGGAGCCTGGGTCCTTCAAGTTGCAGGGCCGGTATTTTGGCGTGACCGCCGAGCGCTTGTTCAAACATGTGTAGACCACTTGCGCTTGATTGACCTTTTGAAGGGAACCAGGGTCAGGTTGCTTCAGCAAGATTTGCCCAACGCAGCGCACAATAAGACAAAGCAAACGGAACCCGTTTTGGCCGCCTTTGAGCATCAGAGTAGAAACACTCGTTGCATTCTTAGGCTGGGTGCTCAGTAGGTCTTCTGAATAAAAAAACAAACAAACAACTTCACCTCACTTCTCCCCGACCTTTTTCTGTTGGCTACCCCAAAAGGACAAATCAACAAAGCTATGGCAGCTGTGGGCAATTTTTCCCAGCCCTCGGCTCATTGGACTCCTCGGCTTCTCCCCCACGGGACGTCGGCTCAGCTCTCTCAGCTCGAGGCTCACAAAGATCATGGCCAGGCACACCAGGGCCTCGAGGCTTTGGCGCCAGGTTTGTCGCAAACCGGCGACGGGCTTTCGACAGGTCGAAACCGGAAATGTTGTTCAAACATGCGCCAGGCTTGGATGTGGGGGGTGTATCTTAGCTGTTGTTTAGTTGTTTTTCTTCTTTTTTTTCTTCTTTTTTTTTTCTCATGCGGGGTTGGCTTAATTGAAGGAAACCAAAAGGAAACCCACCTGGATGCATTCAAACATCCTTATTAATGCGTGTTTTTTGGAGCGAACCTTTTGTTGGGTTGAACAGTTGGTTCAAACTGAAGCCAAGGGTTTTGGGGGCGCTCCGTCAATCAGGACACACGTAGAAAAGATCGATCTGACCTATGCGACATATATTTCAAGCCAAAGGAACTGCTCCGGAGGCTTGGAGCCAAAAGGTACATCCCCCAAAGGAAACCACTCCTGAAAGCGAAGCTATTATCTCTTATGCCCATGTTGCCATACCCAAACCCAGCAATTCCACAGACCAACGGTTGCAAAATCGGAGCTTGCGATGAATGCCTAGACAAAAACAACGTACTTTCCCTAGGGATTGAAAGGAAACTCCTCCCTTTTGACTCACTCCCAAACATTCGATTGAGTGATTCAGCTACAGTGACCTTCAACAGGAAGTCTTCCGCCTTTCGAATCGGACGGCTCTCTTGCCTTGCGCACGATGGGTTCGAATTTCCGGGTTTGGGCCTCTTAGAACATGTCCATCAGCCTGTGATTTCCGTTCACCAAAAAAGACATCATGCCAAACAATTGACGACACTGCGTCTTGGTCCCCAGTGTCTTGGTCCCCAGTGCGCCCTTCTGGATGAGGGATCGCTTCTTAGTGTAGCCTCGAATTAGTGCTCCCTTCAAACTTACAGAAGAAACGCAAAAAGGGTCGGATCCCCCCAACAAAGGCGTCGCCTGTCAAACATAGGTGTGCAACATGGGAAGCCCCCCGAAATGGGCTTCAGTTCTCCGCTCTCCATTTGGTTTCCCTTTGGAGCAGCCGGTTCGAAACCCAAAGAAGGACCTGGGCTTCGTACCAGCAACGGTCCGAAGAGGCCCCCCAAGAGCCCGGAGGGGCCTCAGACGTGTTGCTGCTGTGTGTACCTGGTGTTGCGGGTGGTTCTGTCACCATGTGTCATATGGCTGTCCAGATCAACATTTTGACACATAGAGAGAGGTTTGGGCTTCGGTGAATCTCACAGACGTCCGTCTTTGACAGTTGTGCTGGCAAAATCTGGCACACCATCCAGCTTGCGTTCTTCTGTGATTCGGTGTCTTCATCCCCCAAAATGTGTTGGTTCCCCCATGCCTCCCTCCTGTAGCGGGCACCATGAGGGCTTCTCTTTGGCACCATTAACAACATCAACCAGCAAACAAGAGTGTCCCTCTGCTCAAGCCTTGGGAAATTCATGGGGCCCAACTGCAAAGAGGAGCCAGCTAACATGAAACTTGAAGGCTGGGAAATGCTCGAGCCAACCATTCCTTTGCCAATTGCCGGGTGTATGAGGGTGTATGAACTCAGTAGACCGTATTGGCTTGCCTCTATATAAAACGAGTGTGTTGCTTGACACGGCCCAAACGAGTACCCTCAAAACAACCCCCCCCCATCCTGGCATACTTCGCCCTCTGCTAACTGAAGGGAGAGAAACGAAACAGGTCCGGCACAGCCCCAAGCCTTGGCAACTCCGGCACGTTTGCTGCAAAACATTGAGAAAACACAAGTAGACAACAGTGGTGCCGAAAACCCGCCACTCGGCACATCCCCTGCTGTTTCCGGTGGCCCAAACGGAGATGCCAAAAGGCCACCTGGAAATTCTACCATAAATTAAAGCTATCTGCCAAAAGTGCTGGTTGGTCAGGAAAAAAGGCGTCCATCAAAGCATCCGCGGCTAGGAGCTCGGCCCAGCAGCAAACCCAGGAGGCACAGGGCATACGCTCCGATGCCTGCGAGGGCTGCTGGGAGTCGGGAATCGGCTCGGGTGGAAATTAAATGGCCTCTTTTTTGTAACATGTTCAACAGGAAAACCGGTATCCCTTTTTTAGTACCCCTGCTTTAACACTGGAAGGCATGGATCATGGATGTTCTACGGAACATTTGCCAAACATCCAAAAACAAGACATTTTCCTGTGCTAGTTTTCAGACCTTTGGTTTCCTTTCGAAACCCTCCCCAAGAAGGGGGAACAAAAAAACACAAATGCATACAAATGCATATCTGCTCTTTCCAAAAACACGACCTTGCTCCCTGCGTTTGCGTGGTTTGTCGCAAGGGATCCCTGGAACTGTTGGTTCATATTGCCCGTTGTGAGGGAACCAGAAACACGAGTCATGTAGAACGATATTCTCCAACAAAGACAGAAAGGCGCATATTTTCCAACAACTCCCCAGACGTTTCATGCCTCAGGACCATTTGGAATAGAGGTTTCCTGTGAGACCCGATCCCAGAAAACCGCGCAGAGCAGGAAACCAAGGTTGCACGGGATCACAGGGGAGGTTTTCAAACCAATGGCCCCTCAAATAAGGTTTCCACACTTTACATTCTTCCCCATGCCTTCAAGCGTGTGCCCGTAGACCCAAGCGATCTCAAGCCCAGAAGTGCCGTGCCCACACCTGCTCATCAATCTGCTCCCACCTCCCAAACGCACCTCCTTGCCAAACACAAAAAGCAAAAAATGGTCAACATCTGTCTTCCCTACAATCGGTTTGTGGTGGTGTTTTGGGGTCGCCACCCAAACCCAATACATCCCGCCTGCCAAGCCTTGCTGCAGCTGTTCCTTGAGGCCCATGGCCTCGGACATGAGGGTTTGGCTAGTCTGTCCACCGACCTATTTACCTACCTATCTTTGATCATGTCTCTCTACCTGTGCTCATGGTGTGACAGTTGGTAGTCAGAAACAAACAAACAACACGCAAATCAAACAAACAAAGACACTATTTTAACGCCACCTGAACAAAATGCTTTGCTCATCTAGATTGCAGCCACACAGGCACCAAAAAGTCAACGCAGCCGCGCGCGGGCCTCAAGCATGCTGCTGGCTGGCCGGGCGGCGAAGAAACTCAGTCGAACCAAAATGGAAGCAAGGCGGCGTTGGCCCCGTTCATGCTTCCTGCTTGGTAAGACTTAGGCTTCATGCAAGGCACTCTGATTTCTCTGAGGGGCCAGTCATCTTCTTGCAAGGACACATCAGACCAAGGTCAAATACGTGAGTCGGTAGCAGCTGAGGAGGCTGCAGCCGTAGTAGAGGCTATCCCTAGCAATGATGATGAGAGACCGCCGGCTAGGTCGCATTTTTGCGGGTAGACTGAAGCATGGGCGCTGCTAGATCCAATCTTCCTCATCCTGGGTCTTGCGGCTCGAGAATAGCGACGAAAGGGTTCTGCTTCATTTGTTCAAAACCCAGCTGTGTCCGTGCTAGATTCAGCAGCTGCACGTGAATTTCCTCTACCCGAAAAACCGATGGAGGCTGTGAATGTATACCATGCATATGCGAATGCTTGTCCGCTAGAAAAAATTCCCAACCCACCCCCTTGAACTGGACTGCACCATTCGGCAACGCTTGACGAAGCCATTCCTCCACCGTCTGCTTTCTGCACTCCGGCCACATCCGCCGCAAGGCGGCGAGTCCAGATGTGAATGGCACCGCTGTCGGCTCAAGCCCGATTTTAGCTGCGGCCTGCCTTGGAGACACACGGCCCACCCGAATCGATCAGGAGCTGGATCGTCGTACTACAACACCACTCAACACAATCCACACTCGTGCTTGCAAAAGGCACTGATGACCTAGCGGACCCAGGTCTGGGTCTCAGGAACGCACTCAAGCACTACTGCGTGGCATTCAAACCTCCCTTCCATCTCCCAGCCGTTGGCGTGAGAAGTCACTCATCACCATTCCCTGGGGACCTGAGCGAGTTGGCGAAGGACTTCCCAGCTGTGATTGTCAGCGTTGGCACCGAGCAACGCGCCAAGATGTTGAAGCCAGCCTGCTGCGCTCCCTGACCCAGGGCCCCAACGCCTGCACACGTCTCCACCAACCAACGCAGCTTGAAGCTTCGGAGGACCCTGCAGGAGCGCCGCCACCCCGCTGGCAGGGCTTGAGCCCCGTGGCTCCTGACAAACATCCAAGCCGCATCTCTACGAAATGCTGCAGCCAAGCGGCGCAGAAAGCAGCGCCAAAGCGCCCTCGCTCGTTCCTTGCTCAGGCTTCTGGCTGGGTCCGGCCACTGGCGGGAGCCTCAGGCTTCGGCCTGTCACAGCTGTCCTGGTCCGGCCACTGGCTGGGGCCTGCCGGGTGGGGCAGAAAGCCTGCAGGCAAACGGACAGGCAAGCAGGCAGGCACACATAAAGAATCATAGACACATACGGAAACCAAAACAAGCAGAACACACACAAGCAAACAAACAAACAATCAATCAAATAAGTAAACAAGCAAGCAAGAAAGGATCAAACAATGCACAAAAAAACACATGCACACACAAACACATACACGCAAACAAACACACGAATGGAAGGACGGACGGGCGGACCGACAAACAAACACAAAAATACACAGCATAGACTCGCAGTGTTCATCTGCTAAAACTGCTCATTGCAGCCCCGAGGTTTTTTTTTTCCCCCGCTTATGTGAATCCAACATGCATAGTGCAAACATGCAAATCCTTGTCACGCAATCCGTGATGCCGTCGGTCTCGACCCTTGCCTCGGCGCATGGAAGCCACGCGCTATGCCATTGCCATAGCCCCCACTAAGACAGCCGAGCGAAGCTGCAAGTTGAATGGCGCAGTTCTAATCATCCGCATTCATAATGGACTCAAAGTCATCGCATCATAGACTCAATCAAGCTGCGCAATCATCAACTTGGTTCAAAATAGTACAGGATAAGTATGTCAATCAGTTGAATGAATTCAAGCCCCGTGCAATGTGAAATTGTCTCGGCCGCTGGTCCAGCCCTCCATCTTGCTCGCTGAAAAATACAATTCTATGATGTACCTGTCCTTCCTCGTCTTATTGTCCGAATCTTGGGAAACACAATATGTGGAAAGCTTGTTGGACTCACCCGGGCCCCAATGCTATCAGTTTCTGCCTGCGAGCCAACAAACGCGCGCGGGGGGCCGGCTTTCGGATGGCTTGCCCGGGGAAGTGACTCGGCACCTCACGTGAGTGGATTGGCCAACACCGTTCGAAGCTCTTTGCTTACGTGGATGGAACAGTCCAATGCGCACCAGCTGCCATGAATGAAGCCCCATGAATCATGAGACAAACCGCCTATCAGCTTGTGCAGGATTCACCACCAGTATACCAGACTCCTTGAGACAACCCCCAAACAAGAGGCAAACAATGGTAAGTAAAGGGTGAAAAAGGGGCCAATCCGCCCCAGCTAACACTTAAGTGCCATGTTCCCGCATTGGGGATTGGTCTGCAAGTCTGTGGGAGAACTCTTTGATAATATGATGGTGCTTGAGAAGTTAGGCGCTAAATCTGCACATGTTTGACAAGCAGAATTAACACCCCATTCATGGGCTGAATGTTGGAAACCATCCCCACAGGTCACAGGTCACCCTATCTTGAATTAGGGCAAAAGTATGCGTAATACTTGCAAACTGCAAACCGTCTCCAAGAAGCTCCTGCTACAAGTGGGCGGCTGTCAAATTTGGGCCCCTTTTCGGTGTCCCCTTTAAAAGACTGCTTCCTTGGCACCTGGGTCCAAAAAGGGCCTTGACCCCCCCCCCGCCCACCCCCAAGTGAAGATGTCGCCGCCTCTGTCCGCCGCGCAAAGTCAGGCCGTGGCTTTAAGCCGAGGGACCGCCAACGCGGCAGAAATTGACCGCCGGCGAGGCTCAAAAGGCTATAGCTGCCTCTCGAATTGACAGAGTTGTTCCCTAAAAAGTTGGGCTGGCCCAGTGGCGGAAACAAAGATTCCTGGTTGAAAGAAACACAGGTTCCCGGATTCGTTCATGAAGTCCTTGGAGGAGCCCCTAGGGAACAACCTTGATTGAACCAGAGAAATCACGCCCGACCGTCTCCTTCCAAAGAAGGAGTGTCTGGCACCACATTCCTCGGCTTTTCTTCGGGCCTGGTTGCCTCTTGTGGCTTAGCTCATGGAGTTGAACCGAATGAATTCGTGGAAGGACCTGATCCGATTCTCAGGTCACCCTTCCAAAAATCAAACATAAGCCTCATCTTTCAGGTTAAACTTGCAAAGAAGGGGAAGCGATGCCACTCGGCAAAAGGGGGGCTGTCTTCTGTGATCTGTGGGAGGGTGTGCTCTTGAGAGACGCCAAAGCCCATTCACTGCTGGTCCTGCCAGAACCCTCTCAATGGCCTGTGTATGCACAATGAATGAAACATGTGTATATATATATACATATAGAAATAACTTGGTTTGTGCATCTATATATTTAATATTATATATACTAATTGTATTGCCCAACATTTGCAAATCATTTTATACAGTTAATTGTTCAAGGGAAACACCGGCTTTCCCTGTGATTCCCCTTTAGACATCAAACCATTTGGAGGAAACCTCCCTTCAAATTGACCTGAAAGGTGATGCTGAAAACAAGCAACCGGGAAAGCACAGGGAACCCTGAAACGCAGGCGAGCTATGTCTGGGGTCGGAACCCAAGCCAAACAAACATTATAGGGGACCCCGATTTTAAGAGCTAACCAAATGGGAACAGTTACTTGGGGTATAGCCCCAACTTGGTTCATGAGAAGCCCTTTCGCACCGGACACCCGGCAATGCGATTTCTTTGTCGCCAGCCACTTCGCGAGAATGTCAGCTCCAGAGAGGGTGGATCGCGGGCACGGCTGGCCTGGCTTGACTCACTGGAGATCTCAACCCCTGGTATGTGACCAGACAACTTTGCTCCTTGCGGCCATCTAGAAATGAACAGAAGCAAGACAACATGACAACATGACGACATGACAAGATGAGAAAACACGATGCCAACAACGGCAAGGGGAACAAACATGCAGGTTCTGAAACAGTCCAGTAGAACTGCCAACAGCTGAATTGGCCTAGGCATGTACTATGATGTGTGGGGCACTGAACAACTGGTCCACTCGTGGACATTGCATGTGTTAGTTGCACAACGGGCGAAGAACGAGGCACGCGGTGATTCGATGGGCAATTCTGTGGTCAAAGTGGATCGACCAATCCTAGGTCTCAAGCCCCTTCCACTGCGGAGCCAAACAGCCAACAGGGTTTCAAAGGGGCGCCTGCGTCTAACAACCTGACAAAAGGCAACAACAACAACACAGGTGGTGTGAACTTACACACCTTGAATCAAGAACAAAGAAACCATGTCGACATGAGTGACAAAAACACCTCACAATGATTCACTGGCCCAATGTAAGAAGCACCCAAGACGAGACAGCTTTGGTGGGGTGCACGATGTTAGACATAATATCTTCCATTACCTACCCAGACCACCCAGAAGCAGAGCGTTGGAAGGGATTGGCGTCTCAACCCCGAGTTGAAAGGAAATAAATAAAACCAATTACCTGCACATGCTTAACCTACCTGGTGCAAATCCCGGGGTGTGAAAGGGTCAGCCGCCGCTAAACGAACGCAACAGAAATAAAAGTTCAAAGGTTGGAAAGTCGGGCTCTAGACAAGTCAGTTAACTCACCCTTGAAAGAGCACCATTCTAGTTCCCCGAAAAGGACATGGTCGAAAGGCAATTTGGGTGCTTCCAACAACTGCAAGCACCTGCTGTTCCATGAACCAGGAACCGGCCCCAACATTACCTCAGCTTGTGCCTAAGCAAGCAAAATATTCCAGTCTCGTCCATGTTCAGGGACCTCCTGAGTGGATTGGCCAAAAGGCATGAAGTCCAGAACGAAAGTTCGGTGAGTGCGTCTTTGCTCATGTTGCACGCAGCCTTACTTTTCGCGATGCGTTGCTCGCTCAGGCTTCGGCAGGTCGGAACTGGGCCCCAAGTAGGAATAGGCTGTGGCCTGGGATTCTTTGCACGGATTCGACCGGGCTCCTTGAAGGACAGGGATTGCTATGTAAGAAAAATAGCCGCCCCCAACCATCGGAACATTGGCCCTACATCGTCAAGCTCAAACCAAGAGACACTGTATGCTGAAGCAGTATCTCGGTACGAGCTATTGTTTAAGCTAAACAATGCAATTATTTATGTTTTCAAAAAAAAAAATGGGGGCAGGGGTTCTGATGGTTCTGAATCTGTTTGGCGGTTGCTTCCCAGTTTGTGTCCCTGATCAATCCATCGGAAAGGGGCCTTGCTGCACAATTGATGACGAGCTCGCAAAGGCTTCAAACAAGCTGCCCCAGGAAGGATCCATCAAGGGCAGGTCTAACTTCGGGTGGTCAAGTCAATATGCGTTCCAACGAAGGTCTTGTATGTGTTGCTTCCCAAACAACCCCAAAAAGGAACACCCAATGCTTCGCCCATCTTCCCCAGTTCCAGCTAGCCTGCAGGTTTGGAAGGTGGAGCTGCGGATCCCCGAAACGTGCTTTGCTTCTCAAAAGACGGATTTCTCTCCAGAGAGAGGATCCCACCACTTGGACATGTAGGTTTTCCCCAGCCTCCAAAATGAGAAGTCCTAAAACTGGCGATTTGTCGGTGCATGTACGGCCTCGCAGAACACGGTGCTAAACAGGCCAACTGCGATTGTGTTTTCTTCAGCGTCTAGGTGGGAGCCTGGCCCAAGGGAACGAGGGGAAAGCATTGGGAATGAGGCTGGAACTGTAGGATTTGTCAAACTAGGGTAGCCACACATTGGTGGTGTTTCCTGCTGGTTTCCCTGCACGTTGGCGGGGAACGGCTTCTGTCTTCTGTTTTCACGGCTCCATTCCCTCAGACAATCCAAGCCACCAATTGGCAGTTCAGGATAAGCTGATGCATCTCATGCACTCCAAGGGTTCAGGTGTAGCACGTCCAGCGCTTGTATCTGATCCAATGCAAGTATAGCGAAAACAGGAACCCCATTCTTGAGAGTGGCTTACGGGAAACCAACAGGAACCAACCCGAAGTAGGGGAACCGCTATAGTAACTAACCTGGCGGAAGAAGGGGGCTGACCAATTTTTTGGGTTCTGCTCCCCTAAAGGACACACACGCCCACGCGCGCGCGTGCGCGCAGACAGAGGTCGGGAGCTTGCCATGTGACTCCTTCTTGAGAACATATGGAAAAATCGTTTAGAAGTGTAAATCTCCCAGCAAGATTCCTTTATCTCCAACAACAAAAGCATCAAAGATCAAATCCAAGTACGCCAGAACTGACATAATAAACAGTACCGCAGTATCTTGCCCTTGCCCCAAGAAGGAACCAGGGAAAGCAGGTTCCTCCTCCATCAGACGAGAAGGAACCAAAGGAGGGTGGCATGCGGGCTTTCACAGATCCATCGCGTGGTTTCCTTGACAGGAAACATCAACCATCATTCATTTCGCAACTTGACCAAAACAAAGGGACCTTCTTGTTCGCGCCGTGCAAGCGCGTCTCGGCCTTACGCACGGCCACTCGCCTTCTCCCCCGTTCGGCGACTGGCCCCCGGGCGGCAGCCTCCAGCTTGGTGCGCACCGCGTTGGCGGCGTTGCTGCGGTCGTGCACGCCCTGACCTCCGAGGGGTCCGGTCCGAGCCGATCCCGACCGAATTGGGCGACTCGGGCCGGCTTTTCAGGTCGGCCACTTAGTTGGCTTGCAGAGAAGTAGTACGTAAGTGGTGCTTATGGCTACCCCTACTGTGGCAGCAAGTCACCGAACTTAGATTACCCATGGGTACTAAGACTCGCAAAGTTCCCCGCCACTTCGAGCAGGGAATCCTTTGGACAGGATTGCAGATGGGAATTTAATGTCCGCCAATGATTTGCGACAAAACAGTTGCCCGGCGAACCTGGTAGAAAGAGAGCCCTCAGGGGAGTGAACACATGTCTAGAGCGGAACCTGAACAAAAACGAGTTGTTAAAAAGCAACCAATGCCGAGCGACCATGAGAGCCAGCAATGTAGACCCCCAACCTACCTCCCTTCAGAAGCGGAAGCCTAGAATTCAGAACTCTCAACAGCTGCTATGTTTTGAAGTTGGCATCACCACATTTCCTCATGTTCGCTTGTGAGATGCAACTAGCGGACAAGCCAACCCTTCCAAAACCATTGGCTAGCAAGCCTAGCTTGGCACCAATGCTACCGGATATGGCCACGTGGCAAGTAGCCTCTAAAGTAGCCTCTAGTAAACACTGCCAGACAGCTGCACGAGTATGTATGAAAATCAATATCCGAAACTTCTGTTTGCTTTGAAGACATAGCAGAAAAGAACACAACAAACTGAAAACTCCAGTCAACCGAGACATTGTAGGTAGCCACAAAGAAAATCCATGAGCAAACTGGGATAAACTTGTTGTGCAATTGAAACACTAAATCCAGAATGAGAGACTGGACGACTAAACAACTGCCAGCTGCTGGAAAAAACAAAACACACGAGACTACCGACAACAAACAAATCAGGCAATCCACAAACACGGAACCCGTCAGACACGTTCCAATGGTTGACTCCAGGGAGCCCAGAGTTGCTTTACCCGGGTAAGGTCGCTTCTTGCTTCACTCAGTCCCTGGATTCTGAGGAAAGAGGGCGAACCAGTGACAATGCAGGCAAGGGATGAACAATAAGACCCCAGACTCGACATGTCCAATGATTCAGGTTTGTCGAAACAAAGGCAGCTCTGATTCATCTACGGGTGACTCATCCGAAATGGGCATTCTTCATCAGCCTAGATGTCCTTTTGGAAGGGTGGCACATGCTGATTTTGACGTGCCACGGTGACCGTACATTTACAACTTGGGACGGGCCCTCTCCGAGGGTTGACCTTTCACTCCCTTGAGACATCTTGGATCCCGGCGGCCAGCGAAAGGGCCCCCGGGTTCTGAGCTCTGCCTGCGTAGGCGCTGGGTCACGATCAAGGGCAGGTGGTGCCTTTTGTTGGTCTCTCAAGGCCAAACCAACAAAGAGAAGCCAAACAAGTGCGACTTCGCTACCCGGTCTTGGTCCATTTGTCCGGGATGGCTTTGGTCCGCAAGGCCCGGTAGGTGCCGCAAGTATCCCAGCTGGTCGTGGTCCCCTAGTCCTTGTGCTGATTGTAGAACTTCCAATTCTTCAGTCCCCAGCAGCCCGGCAGCTACGTTGCGAGAAGCCGCACTCCCCAGACGCGACGGGTCTAAGTGAGCGGATTGCAAATGGGACCACTACCAAGGATGCACAAAGTCAAAGGTGAC